GAGCTGTGGTCCTTGCCCCCCTGGGGGGGCCCATCGATTTCGACACCCCTCTCGAGAGATCGTCGATGCGATTGGCCCCCCCTTTGCTATCCCCGCCTTTCGCCTCGCCCGAAGTGTCCACCTCTCCCGCCGCCCGCGCGCCTGCTGGCGTCTTGCCTCGGCCGCGGCGCAGACGGCCTCGCCACAGCAGCCGCCAGGTTTCGATTCTCCTTCGCTCTCGCTGACCTGCCTCGCCCAGGCACGCCGGGCTGGCGGTCTTCGCCATCTCAGAGGGGGGGGCATCGCTCGGACGTGTGCATTTTTTCTCGGCGAGAATCATCGAGGACCATCCTGGACCACGGAGCAACAAAAACACTCACGAAACCGAAAAATGAGCGGGAAATGGACGTCCGAGCGACGGCAAGGGGGTGAGCAGGCAGCAGGAGGAGAACCGAGGATGGAGCAGGAGGACCGAGGAGCGAGCAGTCCCAGGAGGAGGGGTCGTGGGGGGAGTGGTGGTCATCAGGGACGCGCGCGAACACGACCTGATCGCAAGCCTCTCGGAGGGGTGGGTGGAGTCAGGCAGGCCTAGGACGAATGTCCATTGTCCCGAGCACTTTACCAAGCTCTCAGATGACATCAGGGCGCTCTGGATCGGCCGCGGCGTCCGATATGTTCTCCAGACCTGCCAGCTCTCAAAGACCGCGTCAAGATCTCTCTGCCCGGTTTTGCCTTCTCCCTGCCGTCGTCTGAGTGAGGGGTAACACCTCGCTGAAGCATCGCGTGGGGAGCGGAACCAGTAGCACTTAAAGTGATCGCGCCTGTGCAGACGCGTCCCCTCCGCGCGCCACCTGACTTTTTCGTCCAGTCGGGTAGTTGTTGCAGGAGGCTCTTGTACCTCACCACCAGCAGGATTCCGCGCGTGGTGCTATTCCTCGCGCGAACGGTGAGGCCCGACGTCACGAACAACAGACGCAACATCGTGCAGAATCACAACCAGGGCCCCGGACCTAATTTTTCCGTGCCACTTTCCGCGCCAGATCGAAATTGGGCGAACGCACCCAGCTCAATAAAGTTGAGACGCCAGGATTTCTCTAGTCCTCCCAGATGAGATCGGGGTAGGTGGGGTCGGAGGATCGCGCCGCACAGCCGATGCATCGGCGATGCGGCTCGATGTGGAGCTCGCGATTTTCTCCACGCCTTCGTCGCCGATTCATCGCCTATGTCGCCGATGCACCGCCGATGCACCGCCGATACATCGGCGATGCGGTGCAATCCTCTGGCCCCATCTGCTCGGACCCCGTCCAGGAGGCCTGGATTCTGCCGCCGTCCATTCTGTTCGCGCCGCAGGGGCTGCACTGGAGCGGCGGTCACGGCACACGCGGGGTCACA